GTATGAGGGGGTACTTGTTGTCCCTGTGATGATACTTCATCTGATCGCCTGGTTATTATCTGCTGTCTGAAATAAGCTGAGGTTTTGCTTGCTCAGCCCCCAGATGTAACATGACCACGCTGCTGCAGACAAAGAGTTCAAACCAGTTTTCAAGTGAAATTCGTAAAGATTGTGAAACGAGCTACGTCACATGATCGGTCATTGATGTTTTCATTTTTTGTAWTATTTTTTTATTTAAATTTGATTCCTACTCCTGCATGAACATCGTACAATCTGTGTTTTCAAAGGGATTTACTTMAAATTTATCCTATGCAGATAAATTAGCATATTTCTCAGTATTGCATAAAGCAGTGTTTCCCAAAGTTGGGGTCGGGACCCAAAGTGGGGGTCCCGAAACATCAAGGTAGGGTCCTGAAAAGATTTTCTGAATTAMTTAYATTTTTGCCTTAGTTGTTACAAAGGAGTGAGGTTAGTGTATTTAAAATGGATAAATGTAGCATAAAAATATTGTTACTGTGCCCATGTTTTGTTGACCTGATACAAATGTTTATCATCCAAAAATAGTTGGGGRCACAGGTCTCTGCTGCTGTTATTTTGTGGGTCAAAAGCTGAAAACTTTGGGAACCACTTCACTTTGGTTCTCAAAGTTGGGCTTGGGACCCAATTATGGGCCATGAAGCACCTTGGATAATCTCCAGAAATCAATTTAAAGGTTAATAAAATAATTGCTGATGTAATATTTCCCCTATAACTATTACAAAAACACACAAAAAAGTATAAACAAGTAATTATATTTGTGTACAAGCTGTTTAGATTGTCAAAAAGCCTGTGTTTTTAGAGTTATTAACAAAGTTCGTGTACTCAGACCAATAATATTTGGGGTCACAAGTTTTTGCCGTGGATATTTTGTGGGTCAGAAGATGAAAAGTTTGGGAACCACTGGTATAAAGTACCTGAAAGTGATAACGTGAGTAAAAGCACAAGTATCTTATCATAAAATTACTTTGGTAAAAGTTAGTCTCCTCTAAGAATATTAAGTAAAAGTCTTAAAGTAACTGGTTTATTTTGTACTTGAGTATCAAAAGTAAATTTCTAACATGAGATGTACTTAAGTAATAAAAGTAAAAGTATTGTGTAAAAATGAATGAATAGATTTTTCAAAATACATTTATTGGAAGGTGACCTCTTCAAAAAGTATTTAGGCGTAGTATTAAGTATTAAGGCGTGCAGCTTTGTGTACAAACTAAATACGGTATCAGAATGGTATATATTTATACTTCTCATACAGAGTTGTAAAGTAACTAAGTACAAATACTTTGTCACTGTACTTAAGTAGAAATTTTGGGTATCTGTACTTTACTTGAGTAATTATTTTTCAGCGTACCTTTTACTTTTACTCACTACATTTTTACACAATTATCTGTACTTTCTACTCACTACATTTTTTAAAAAGGTAAGAAGTAGAAAGTCGTTACTCCTATTTTATTCCAAGTTGTTATTTAAAAATTACTATACAGATAAATTGTGTCTCCTGGATAGAGTGAATTTAATTGTGTTTGGATGAGAAGTATAAATAATATTCTGACACAGTTACTTTGTACACAAC